GCAAAAGAAAGGGCCAGGGGGGAACTACCAGCTTCTGGAGTACTTGTAGAGGGATATACCAGGGAAAAGAAGGGAGCGTGGGGAAGAGAACAGGACAGGGACACAACTTTCAGCTTCTGTAGTACTTCTAAAGCGATAGAGGGTAAAGAGTGTTCCCTGAATCTTTCGGGGGATTCCCTGAATCTTCTGGAGGACGGGGGAGGCAGAAGTTACTCAAATGTGTCAGGGAAGTCATTTGTATCTCAAAAGCTGAAAAACCCACAGTCTCTTATGAGACAATAAACTATTAGAGCTACCTGATACAAGGGGAACGACAGCAAAGGGAACTGTGGGTTACTCTCAATCATGTCAGTCAGATATAGGTCCATACCAGCTTTAGTTCTCCAGGATTCCTCTTCCAGTGCTGCAAGAAGTGATGGCAAAACCAGCTTCACTCCATGAGTACTCAAGTTGCTCATCACAGCTTTGGCACAGTCATCTGCAGCCTCCAAGGAGAAGACAATATTCACAAGCTGTGTCACAACACGTTTTTTCCTTCCTCAAAGACTCAGTGAGAACAAAGCCTTCATGTACAATAGTGCCTCGGTACAACCTGGCTAGCCAAGTTGTTCCCGATTAACACCCAATGAAATGGGATGCTTTCAGTTATGAAGATCCAACTGTTATTAGTGGTATCTCAAGGGATCTCAATTTGCCTTGTTACAAACAAGCATTCATATCTACTCCACTGCAGTTTTCTCTTAACACTGTATGTCCCCAGAAATTTAAGGCATCTTACCTCTCGCACATACTGGTTCCCATCTCCAAAACAAAGCAGCAAGTGAGGTAGCACATGAACCACATAGGGCTCAAAGAGCTTTCCAAGCATACTGCAGAGCATCTCGAAGGCAAACAGAGCCCCTAAAAACCCAAAAAGGACACTCAGAGGAAAATACGACTTCATTTAACATGTACTGTCCCACAGAAAGCAGGAGCCTGCCCAGCAACACCTGCCTTGGAAAACAGTAGGGAAAGCACCGTGCATACCGTCTAGGACCAGAAACCCTTCTTCCACCACAATGCAATAGGACACTATACACAACCAGTGGCCTGATGACAGACACTTCCCATTCCTTTCTCAGCAAACATTAGTAAAATACACGTAGATGACCCAAGCACAGGGGTTCAGGCATCATTTGATCTGACCACAACAGCAGCACATACAAAGGGAATATTAAATATTTGGAGGAAAAAGCTTTTTCCCCTTACCCTCACGCCGACGGAAGTTCTTCTTGTCCTGGATAGCATCAGTCAGCGTGGTCATCATCTCCTGCTGCTTGAGAGAGAGGATGCCAAGGCCTTTCACCAGGCCTGCCAGCCCATAAGCTGCACCTTTGCGCTCAGCATACTTATCAGACTCTAAAAGCAGCTGCATTAGCTTCTGTATCATTCCTCCTGCATCCTCCTTAATTGCAGGCACCAGAGGTGGTAAACAGCTTGCCACCGACTCTTGAACCTGTAAAGCAATCCCACCAGCTGTCAGACCACAAAACAGGCATCACCAACGTAACTTCCTCCCAGCCTGCACCCACAGTGACAGCTTTCTGTCACCAAAGATGGTTTTCACCTCTCTGACATCCCTGGAAGTATCATGGAGTTAACCTGCCGCTGCATGGAAACTGGGGTGTCCTCCAAGGCAGCGCCTACCTGCTGAGATGGTGTGGACAAGGCTGCTATCAGTTTGCCAACAATTGGTTTCACTTTAGGGTCACTCTTGTCCAGATGTTTTGCCAGTGAACCCATCAGAATGACCACGCTTTGCCTGACAGCATCATAACTCGCATCATTAGGAGCATTTTTCAGGAATTCTTCAAACACTGGCAAGAGAGAGTTAACATTGTCCTGAAAAACAAAACCACAGAACGTGCCACTGGAGTCCACTCAGGATGAGATCTGCCATGCTCACTGGACTTGTTTGTTTTTCTCTGAGCCAACAAAACAAACACACTGTATTTATAGTTCATTTAATGTGTCACATCACATAAAACCTCATGCCGTCCCAACAGGCAACCAGTATTTCCTGCCAGAGTGAAGTTAGCTCTTAAAGATCAGATCCCCCAACACTGCTGGTGTGATGTCTACCAGGAGCAAGGCAAGCACCTTGGCCAGACTGCTAGCCTAAACCCCAGCACCTCTCCTTTGCTTGCTCCAGTTGCAAAGGGAGAACAGAAACATAAACCAAACTTCACTGCTTTTCTGAGAAACAGAAGGAAGGAATAATATGAAAATACTCCAAATGTCTTGGGCCTATGAGAAACACAGAGAGCTGTCCAGAACTGGTGACTGGCATATATGAGGAAAACTGAAGCTGAGCAAGTTACACCTTTGCACACACCTTCCCCACCTAGCACTGCTGGAGAAGGGCTAGCAGTGAGAATATGGATGGTCCTCAATTGTCAGAATGACTCCAGTTCTGTTTCAGTTTAATTAAACCAACCATTGACAAGCTTTCTCGTGTGGCACTGCATGAGACCTTACAGGAATTCTCACCTTCCAGGATTAAAAGATCTGTGGTCTGACTTCAGTTTTATCACTCCAGTTTTACACCATTTTAACTCCAAATGATTCACGGCTATTCCTTTATTATAGCAATAACAGGGAAGAACTACACTTAGTCAACACCGGTCACTAACAGAACAACTCTGAACACTCAATTCCTACTACATGGAAGTTTTCAGCTGTCACAAGTAACAGAAACCTCAAAGGAATGAAAAAGACAAAACTTATCACTTAATAAAATAAATCTCTGGAGCCAGTATCTACTTTTTCATTCCATCTTTTTCCACTGCTAGTGAGAGAAACATTCAGACTTACTTTGCCATGCGTGTTGAGCGTTGAAAGAGCTGCATCCAACATGCACTTCCTGACTTCAGGGCTGCGATCATTCAGAGCATCCGGTACAAAAAACTGGAAGAGGGGCTTCACCTGAGAGCTGTCCAGATGCTGTGAGAGCTTGTTGAGGGCCAAAGCTATGCCACACCTGGAAAGATGGTGAGCTCCTACATTTACTGACTTCTCACACAATTTGCCCGAAGCCACAGTCACAATCGCTATCATTAGCACATTACAGAGATGGAGAGAGAACCATGAGAAAACCGCTTGGAGCAAGCTGCTCCAGTGGAAGGTGTCCCTGCCCATGGTGGGGGGTTGGAACCAGAGGAGCTTTAAGGCCCCTTCCAAACCATTCTATGACTCTGTGAAACTGAAGAGCTTCAGTGTCCAACCTACATTCATTTCTTTACATAACCTCATGCTGCAGGTTCCTAAAAGGACAAACAACCCTTCAGCCGTGTAATGGCCTCTATCCTGCTCAAGCATTACAGACACTTGGGCCAACAAAGACTCAAGGACCACTTCATCTACTGCTGAAATACACCAGCTCTACAAGGTACATCAGCACTAAAGAGCAGATTAGCTCAAGACAGGTAGTGAACAAGATCATCCCCACCTGAGCCTGTATAGGACTTACAAGTAGATAGAAAAATAATTATCCCAATTGGAATTTGTCTAGTTCATTAAGGCTTGCACTGCTGCTCTTGAAACAATCAATTGCCCATATAGAGGTGGGAATACAGTAAGGTAAGGCAAAAATAAGGCCGTCTAAGAGGGAAAGACTCTGTTCTTATCAGGACATAGGGAAGATGGTGCCAATATTTTGTGGGAACTGAGAGCATTTCACTTTTGCCTGCTCAGCCTGCTTCAGGGGCACAAATATTCTCTACCTGAAGGAACATGAAACCAGCAAGTCAATTCAAGTGCATGGACTTTGCTCTTTTAACATTCCCTTATGTCTCCACTGCCTGAACTTCTAAATAAAAACCTACAACACCTCATCTGGATGCCCAGGAAGTGATGAGATCAATCTGAAGATGACTGTACCTTGCTTCCCACTGGTCAGGTGGTGATTCAGATATCACTCGTCCCAAAGCATCCAAAACTGGAGGTGGCCTCTGGAAAGCGAAAAAATATCATCAGAATGCCTTTTCCAAGGACAGGCATGCAGAGAATACTGTGACCATACCTGCAATGCCCTTTTGTAACACTGCACAGAGATATGATACCACTAGCAGAAGAGCGTAGTAAAAAAACTAGCAGTTTAGGCCCAAAATGACTGGCCCTGCTCTGCCACAGTCTTCCTGTGTCATCTAAGGCACATCTCCCATCTGTACAATGCTGCCACTACTGGCTGACAGCTTGAGGCTCAAGACAATAAATTCTGTGATAAGCTCTAACACAGCAACAGCAGGCTTCATGCACATCCTCGACAGACAAAAGGAAAAATGATTAATGAAAAGCACAGGCTTGTGCCTGCCAATCCCTTAGGACAAGAGTACTTACATAGAGCTTCTCCTGGTAAATCTCTGTAAGTTTATTCATGACCTCTGCTGCTTGCTTTCGATACTGAGCTACAGCTCTGGAAAGAGCTTCAGCACCTGCTTGTCGCACTGCTTCTTCATGGTAGATGACATCTTTGATCAGCAGAGAACAGAGGTCAGGCTGCAGCTCCAGACCCATGGACTCCCACAACCTGCAGCACACACAAAGAGGGGAGAGATCACCCTTCAGTTAGAAAAGCCACAGCTACATGTAGGTACTGAGGTGACCTAAAGCTCCCCTCTACTTATGGGAGGCAAAACCCCTGCCACCAGAGCTCCAGAAGGGGAGCAGAGGAGAGGTCCTGTCACAATCCAGCCAGCCAGGAAGAGCTCTTACCTCTCTGCCAACTTCTGAATCTCATCTTCCACATCAAACTTCACCACCCAAAGGCGACGCAACAGATTCAGTCCATTCTTTTCATCACTGTCTGGGGTTGGTAGAACCATCTGCAGCTCCATCAGTCCCTGAACGAGTTCACAGGAGAATCAGTGTAAGGATCTGATTTTAGAAACAGATCCTTTAAAACACTTAAAACTTTAGCCAAGTCAAGCTCTCAGTGTCAAAATTCATGTCTTCTCGTGCAGGACACGGCCTGTGCTGGTCAAGGACTTCCAGGTGAGATGGTGAAACTCAAGAACAGTGCTCCACAGGCAGTTGCAGATAGGCAAGTAGGCACTAGGTTGTGCTCTGTTGACTATAGTCTTTTCTCCTTCTAAGTACAGAGAAGCCAGCTCAGGTAAGCTAAGCTGAAATTTGTTTAATGACAAAGAAAACCAGGCACCCTTGGGTTTTTTCTTTCTTTAGGCTCTCAAGAAGTGACTAAGCCTGAAGCTTTCCAGAAACATTGGGCCCAATACAGACGTAAGATTTTTTTGACAGCTTCTCTCTGAGACTAAGCTCTCTGCAACTCTAAATAGAAGGTGTTGTAATTACACCTGTTTTAACAAAAGAAAGGTGTGGGTAGACCCAAGATAAATCTAGCACAGAGCATTACTTAAAGCGTTACTGTTGAGTAGCTACTGCCTCCTCCTGCAGACACACTGCCAGAACTGAAGCCTCTCTTTAGCAGTGTTAGAGAACATTCACCTGTGACCCTGAATGATTCCCACCTACCCTGAGAGCTGCATCTCGAACATTCATGCATGGAGACTGCAGGGCCTGAAGTAGCACATCGATCTCCTCCTGTTCTGCATAGGCACAGCCATCCTTCCCACTGCTGCTTGCACACAGGGTGGTCAGTGCATTGGAAGCCAAAACCTAAAATACCATGAGGAAGTATTAGAGAGTCCACCACTGACTTCTTCTGTCAAAGCAAGCATGGGGGAGATTAAGTACTATCACAAGAGAAGAAATTCTCAAAGAACAAAGTGATGACTTCGGTCCAGCTACTCATCCTTTGCCTTTTTGCTATTATTGACCCTTTTACCGTCTCATCCCTTAGAACACTCCTGAACTTCTCTGACACAGTAAAGCCATAAAGAAGGAATAAAATCTCACCTGTGGAAGACTGATGAGTATGCTTGGTGCAATAAAGCCCCCAGGAAAAAAAGATGTAGACAATTTCTTTCAAGAATAGGATAAACACAGCAGCAAACTGCTAGTGTATCAACCACCAGCCTGAGAGACTTACACCAGGTGGGTGCATTTCCCTCACTTAGATTCTGATGAAACTTAGGCAGAATCCTAGCCACGGTTATGAAGCAGAAGACTCACCTGTAATCGTGGAGAACCTGTTCCTATCACCCGGGTCAGCAGAACCAGCATGTCCCTCCGGGGCAGCAGCTCTGGGCCATTCTGAAAGGTTGGGGGGAGAAAGAAAAAGCCTTATGCCTTGTGACTCCAAAGTGCCTTTTCTGTGTGTGACACTCCTTATAAACATCACAATTAAAACCTAAGGCAGGACAGGTAACTACAACCTGTGAGAGAAAACAATCTTCCATAGTTAACTCTAACCGGTAGAATTACTTTGTCCAGTTTACACATCATCTGGTTTACCCCATGCCTCATCTGAACAACTGTTGAAGGAGGACACCTGATCCCCGCAGCTCTTGCTCACCTCATCCACCAGCAAAGCTTGGCCATTTGCTGTTGATCTCAGCTGAGCATGGACCGTAAGGATCTGCAGAATACTGGCCAGGAACTCCTCCTGGTCTTCGCTGTCGTGGGGTGTCTCAATTATAACCGTCTTTAGGAGAGGAAAGACTAAGGAAAATGCTGGAGCTGACAATGGGGCAGCACCTGGGAGAAGGAAACACAATCCTGTGAGCAGAGCTGATCTCACATCTTTGTTTCTAATACTGGATGGTATACCATGTACACTTTGGTAGCTCATAATGGATGTGGCCAGCTTCAGCCTCATGTACAAACATGAGGTTCACTTCTATACCCTTAGACACACCCAGTCTAAAGGATACTTCCCATACACACATGTATGTGGACTTAACCTGTTCAAAGCAGTGCACACAACCTGTTCAGCCTCTACCACTCTGGCATTTCATTTAGCAGCAACAGTACAGCTCCAACAGTGCTACCTGACGTTTCAGTGTCAGACTAACAACTGCACCTGATGGTGCCGAGGGTCTTTTCCAACCTAAATGATTCTACGATTCCACCCAATATTGTAGCTTGCAACACCAATGAGCTGGCTTTAACTAAGTCAGCATTAAGATTCCAAATTAAATCTAGTGCTTCAACAGTGTGAAAATACACACTGTAAATGAAACTGAAGCAACTCAGTGGACTGTAGACAGACAGGCAAACCTGAGTTTGTCTATCCTGGAAATACCTGAGGATCCACACAGGGATCTGATATTCCCTTTTAAAGTTCCTTTGTCCCAAAGAAGGAACCTGTTTGCCAGCCACATTCCCATTGAACACTTCCTACCAACCTAGCTAACCTGTCATTCCAGTCTTCAGCTGCATTCTTGAGAACGAGGTTCCTCTAATTCTGCTGCAAGTCTCTGCTCCCTCCTCTCCCCCCTTGAGAAAAGTTAAAGCTTTTGGATTCCTACAGGTAAAGATTTTGCTCCTCCCTTCTCACAGGGGCTTGGCTATGGGACAGAAATGCTCCTTCCAGGCCTCTCCAGTTAAATGTCAAGTATTAGAGGTCTAGGGAAAGCGTTTACTTTCTGTGCTGCCAGAGAATGCCACATATAACGTTTCTAAGATGCAAATGAAGAGCACTGCAGATACAATACTGCAGTATTAGTCAGCTTATGTAGGGCACGGACATTGCAAAAGTAGTTCAAGAGAGAAATATTAAGTACCAAAAGCACTGTGAGCTCCTAACTGCTCAACAGGAATAGCTTTGGTCAAACACCTCCGTTTGTGATGTGGGATTTTGCCATTTGCTCGGGATCTGTTTCCTCTGATGCTTTTATTTTTGCCTGGTTTTTGTAATTATTGGCCAGCTATTTTTAGGCTCAAGCAAATGCTCCTCTATATGCAGGAGGAGGAAGCAAGCTCAATCTTAGAAGATAAATGTTCTGTTAACACAGTAGCCAGTACTGACCAATACAAAAGAGATTATAAAACGTGTCTTGGCGTTTCAGCAATGAATGATTTATCATCCACATTACAAAGAGTTATGGTCCCTCTTAGTTCTCATGATAACTTAAGAAACTAACCTATACTAAATCAAGACTACACTCCAAAGAACTTTGAAAATGAGGAAAAATCATTTGGGAGTATAACATAACTTGTCCAACAAAGTGCAATGGAACCTCTTTCCTTTCTCTTGCAGAAGTGAACAAACATCAGGGATTCATTTAAGCACTGCAGGAAACACTGAAGGATTGAAAAGCCTGCCAGTGCTTTCTGGAAATAAGCCTGAAAATGGATTCCAATGTTAATGAACTTGCACTTACTATGGAAATAAATTGCATAGTGCAGAACTATCACGGAGATGTTCAGCACTGAAGTGGTGCTCAACATGGTCAATTGCCACTACTCAGCTGGGCAGATTACATGCGCCAGTCACACAACTGCAGAACTGATTAGCAACAGAAGAGTAAGAGGAAAACTGAACTGCTGGGGTAAGGGACCACACAGAATCCTGCAAGTCCCTTAAAAAATACAAACCATCCATCGCAGCAGCTCTTGATGGAGCTACACAATGAAGAGCTCCAAAGCCTGGATGAACCACCTCTATCACTGCAGTACACCGGATGCTTTAAGACAGCCTAAGCCATCCTAGCCTCCAAAGGTAGCACACCTGCCCTCCCACTTCTGTACTATTATCTTCAGTGTAGCGGTACAAGTACTTGCGCACTCCATCTTGGAGTAAATTCTGGAAGAGATCTAGAGTAAAACTAACCCAGCAAAAACAGAACCAGACAAAAAAAGGTTCATTTTCACTCAAACTGTATTTTTGCACTGCAAAAATACTGGTGCCTGCCTTCATGTCAGAGTGAGAAAGAACTGCTTCTACAACCATGCCACAATAAATTATTCATGAACTGCAGCACTGCACAGCAAACAAGCAGAGGCCACAGGCACTTCACTGCTGAGATCACAGATAACAAGCAATTATTTTGTCTTTCCACTTAAGTCTCACTGTATCACTTAGGCTAAGTGGTGTTGAAAGGTAGGAACTGTCCCTGGCAAAGACAAACCTTGGTTTCATTATTACTTCTGAATGAACCACTTTAATAAAAACACTGTTCTTCTATTTCTACACTTCCTATACTTGTAACATCATTTGCAGTACTACCCCCACAAAAATCCCCAAAACTTAAGGGTTTTCATATCTATGAAAATTTATCCAATTTGAAAAAGGAAAAAGTGAAGTTTCACATACAAAACATTTCATAAACCATAAAACCTGAAATAGCTCAGTGTTACGGGGGGGTGTCAGAGGGATCTACAGTACTTTTTACCTGGCTCTCCCTTGCCTGTTCGGCCAGGAATGGTGTGGGCATGCAGCAAGTTAACAACTCTGTTCAGAGCAGTAGGCAGCTCTTCTTGACACCAGGATTCATCTAATTCACATTCTGGTTTCATCAGGCGCAAGGTCACATGGCTCACTAAAGTACCTGGTAGGAAAGAGAGGATCCATGACAGGACTAAAGCCAGAGACTTCTTGAGAGAGAAAAATCCCCAAGAACACAGACTCAGGAATTACAGCACAGATGTGAGCAACAGCCCAGGCTGCAAGAGGCAAGCAAGGAAGCACAGCCCCGAGGCTTACAGGGGACAGCCTTCCTTACAAGTTACATGTGTGAATTACACCCACATCCTCCAAACTCTGCACAGGGAGACAGTGCCATTGCAACCAACTGCTACTTAGAGGTGATCACAATAACCAGACAACTCTTTCTCTTTGGACCCAGTCTTATCCAGCAATAGGATGTCTGGGACTTTGCAGTCATCTCCCTAAGCACTGTTGAAGAGTGGATTTCCCCCTTGGCTTTCTGTGGCAAATGGTCATGAACCAAGGCTCACAGGAGCAAGGATTTTCACTGTCCTGCCATAAAAATAATGCACCCTGCCCTTAAACAGCAACTGCAAATACTAACCAAAGGTTTTCAGTTGAGCTGGCATAACACAAGAAGCTAAGGAAAGAAAAGGTTCCTTAATCCTTGGAGCAGCCAAAGGTGATCGAAAAAGTGGCAAGAAGGAACTGATGAGAGCAGGGATGTACTGAGTTAGACCTGGAGGCTTTCTCTTTATAACAGCACCCAGGAGCCCGAGAGCTGTTTCCAGCTCATTATCAAGCTGTAAAAGAAATAATTCAAAAGTTACCATAAAAAAATTCAAAAGTTACCATTAAAAATAAAGAAATAAAATCAAGCTGTCAAATCTAATTTCTAATGACAGAAACAAACAGCTCATTGCTGAATACTCCCTATTCTTTTTATCAAAATGACTTGGGCCAGGGTAGGTGGCAAAAGAGACCATCAAAACTTAACCTCCTTCAGCCGTTTTCTTATCTGAGACTCCCTCTCCAGCTGTGCATGCATCAGCTCCTTCTGCTTGCTGGTCAGTTGCACCTCATCCTTTATTCCTTTCTTCTTCTTTATTTCCTGCAGTAGAGTGCAATGGACATTATTAACCTGGAGCTATTAACACCAGCCCCTCAACTAGGTAGAGAAGAAAGATACATAGGG